GAGACTGCGAGGATTGAAAGAGAAGGAAAAGAAGCCAATAAATTAGCAGTCAGAGTCAGCGGAGAACCGTGACAATCCTCACACTCCTCTGTAGCCCAAAAGAACAAATACAGGGAAACCAGGGGGAGTTGCCTCATCATGAGTTTTAAACTTAATGTGTATTTTTTTCTTCTTTAAATCATTTCTGTTATTACTAAATCAGTAAATTTGTTAAATCAATGGAAAGAGAAATGCAGTACATCCCTTCATCATTTGTCTCTTTAATGGAAAATTGAATTTGTGAGGGCATTTGAGAGACCTGTACCATGATTTAATAGATTAAAGCCCCATTAGGGGGAGAAAAAACATACCTGGAAATCTGGAGCAAAGCTGTATGTGTATTTCCATAAATAAGAATTTTATAACCAATGCATGTCAGCCATTTTACAATACCTTGTAGAAACTACAGTCACGGTTGGTTGTAGGAAGTTTCTAATGTCAGTTCACCAGATAGTCTAAAGAGATTTGATTTTGGCAACCTGGATGCCTCCTTTGTTGCTGAGGTTTGCTTTTTCACTCTTAGGGAATAACAAAGATACACGGGTCAACTGTGGTACATTAATGTATTCTTCTCAGTTATGGTACTTGAATCACACAAAACAACATATTTTGTTATTACACAGCAAGAAGGCAAAATGCTTGCGTTTAACTTCTTTTGTTTCTCAAACAGGAAGGGAAAGAAACAAAACTACTTTAATTCAATAGAATGAAAGCAGTGAATATCCCACAAACTGAAGCAGAATTTTAGCCAATCTCTTTGTAAAATTGCAAATTTATTCCTATAGCTAGATCCACACAAATGTGCATAATGTGTGTAATTTATTCTCTGCTTTTAAAGATGTCTTTATTTATCATAACAAAAATTCTGGACCTGTGTTTCTCTAACACTGTTTCATAAAATAAAAAACAATGATTTTTTTAAATATACCTGAAATTTTTATCAACTAAACAACAGGTATTGGGAAATGTAAAACTGTTTTCTTTATATAATGAAGTTTATTATCCATGCCAAATAGAAACAGAAGTATCTTTTAAGTGCTGAATTTCCACATGGCAAAAAGTTTCTATTGTGTTTGTGAAAAACATCATGCAAAGAATTAATATGTGAAAAATTAGCAACACAACATCATAAATAAACAATAAACCATCCAGACACATTTTAATTATATAAGACACAGATCTATTTACTCAAAAGATACAGTAAACTTTCATATTTTAGAGTGAGAGCTGACATAGAAGTAAAAACCTAAATGCTCATTCTTTGATCAAAGCACAAATAATTTTCCTTACAAAGAGAAGTTCTAAACATCAATCCTATAAAAATGATGAGCTCAACTTAATCTTTACTTACAACATCAATAGTCACCCATTATCATTGTACATATTAAAGATTTAAGGCACAAGAAAAACATTGAAACAAAAAAAAGAATAAGGTTTCTCCAAACTTCTAAAATTGCCTATAGTCATTCCCTCTTCCCACATGCCATTACATGTGTGACAATAACTCAAACACTCAATTAAACTATGCAGTTTAAGCTGATGAACCTACAGAGAATTCATTTGGTCCCAATTCTCAGATTAAAGCTAGGTCTGGTGTTGGCTTAAGTCAATGTACCTCCATTAGTTACCTCTTGATTTTACAAATGCTTGATGGTTATCAAGACATGTTTTAATTCTTTTCTAATCCTACAGGATGTTATACCTCTTCAAAAACAATAGTTTTCTTCCTCATCAACATGTGGGGACACACTTTCATCCTCCATCAGAGTCAGTTAGACTTCACAGTAGGAAATACACAAATTTCCTGTGGTCAGAACAAAAATCAGACCCATCTACATACCAGGATATTTTCTGAAAAGCAAAATTTTTATAGTATTTACAAAAATGATATGTAATAACAAAGAACTCAATGTGCTCATCACCTTAGAAAAACAGACTAGCATTTAAAAAAAAAAATGGTTCCATTCCAGGACATTATATTCATACAAGGAAGCTAAAAAGCTTCTGTGCTGAACTTGAACATTAGATAAACTAGTGGACTAATAAGTCAGTCTTTCATCCTATTCATAGTGAACCTGGCTACTTGGTACCAAAAAGAATCCTCTCTACATTCATGTGAATCATGCACACACATTCACAAACAGTAATAATCTTTTGACAGAGCTTGTGTTATTATAAGATATTCTGCACCTAAAGTATATGGTACTTAAGGCTGATGACAAAGAACTAAAGAACTACACTCTGTAGTTACTTTAGGAAAACAAGATAGATAGATAGATAGATAGATAGATAGATAGATAGATAGATACATAGATACATAGATACATAGATAGATACAGAGATACAGAGATATATAGATACATAGATAGACACATGGATAGATAGATGATAGATAGTCATCTCTTTCTAGAATAAATTTTTCATTAAAATGCTGGTAACTTTCTTATTTTGAGAAGAATTTTAAATCTCTTAAAGTCTTCAAGAACCAAGTTTTAAAGCACCATGAAATAGTATACCATTTCTCAGCATTTCTTCTCACATGTTCTTATGAATTGCTTCTCTCAAAAGAGCCTTATTCTATTAATAACGCTGTGCCTGAGGAGGCCTTTTTAATATTTTAAAGTGTGTGAGTGCATCTGTATACGTATTTGATATGCATATATGTAGGTCTATATAGTCTCTTTCTGTTCAGATTGGCAACAGTTCAGACCTGATGCCACAATTTTAAATATGCAGATGTTTCTTAGGTGAATGAACTTTATCCTTTGCGTATAAGGTAGCTCATTCCGTGAAATTTTTGAGGATGTTGGTTTATGAGCTATCAGCTGGAAGAGTGAGCATGAATAACTTCATATTAGTACGGCTTCACCATCGTGACCTTACGGAATTATTTGACTCCGAGCCACATGTATACAGGATGGTTCTGTCTTTACAGACCGTAGCAGAAACTAACACTCTCAGAATAAAACAGGAAACATGAGAGCATCATGCTCTTTCTATGAGTCTGGCTTTCTAATATTCCCCAAAAAACATAAGAAAAAAATGTCTTAATAAATAATCATCCTATAGCTATAGAGAAAAATAATGAGGAAAAAAATAATGGCCATCTTGTGGCCATCATATCACGTTTTATAACTAGAAGTCCAGGGATGCTCAATAGCTATTTTAAGGGAAGCTAAGCCAGGTAAAATGTCCTTACCGTGAAAATTACTTTAGTTAAAATCTTCCTTACTTGCTCTGCAAAATCCCTAATGTTCCAATTCAACTAACAAACCAGTTGTTTACAAATGTCTTAAAACTCAATTAAGTATAAGAAAAGAGTTCCTTGAAATCAGGACTATGAAATCAATGCACACAGCATCACAAAAAACCAACACCTTAAAGCATTTTATTGGTTATCACATAAAAGCTACGTGAGTTTTTCATAGTGCCTTCTCTCTATGAAATAACACCTGAAGCCTAACCAACATCTCTTCTGCTCACTCACATAAGTGGTCTCCAGATCTGTCAGTGAGTCTCACTTAATTGGTGGAGGTAGCCTGCCACAGAGGCCACCATTTCCACGGAGAAAATGTCCACATTTGGGAGGTGAATTCACTGCCATCATTTTTGTTAAAGTCATCTCCAAATGACGTCCACAATTTTCATTCTCTGTGAATGATTTCTTCCATGGTTAGATGACATATTTCATTCCTCTTCTTTTAGTACTATATGTTTGCAAACTGTTTTAAAGTGATTAGTTGTTCATCTCTCCAAGTTAGGGCACAATTACATCTTGTCAACTGATGGTAAAATATGCACATACAAGAGGAGAATTATATCTCCATTTTTCAATTTTTTGGTATAATTATTGCGGCCTATCACTTTCTTGAAGTATACTTAAAATACCAAACTTTGTTTTTCATGTAAAATAACATTGTGCTGCATTAAGATGTATCTTAAAAAGTTCCCTAAAACCTAACTTTAAAATATAATGAAGAAAAGAACAAGAGAAAAGAGACAGAATATTTTTATGAAAAAAGGAAAAGAGAAAAACTCATTAAAGAAAGAAAAGAGAATCACCTTGATAATTAGTTATAACTGCTTATAAATCCCTTATTTTTATAAACTATTTAAAATCATTAACTCCAGGCCCAGTGATAGTGTGGGAATTGTACATTAAAAAACTAAGTAGTCTATTTCCCTAATTGTCTCATTTGAAAAAATAAGCCTACTAGTAGAAAGCACAACCTAGATATTATACTAGAAATACAGTACCCCATTTACAATTCATCCTCCCAGATTAAGATACCCTTATATTATTATCTCTTTCCAATACTGTTACGTTATAGTCTCTGCTTATACTTCCTATTTGTGGAAAATGTTAAAATAGCTGTTAGGGAAAATATCCCTGTTTTCTATAGTATTACGTGCTTTACATAACTACTTTGATTCCAAATGGTTGGTTATGAAACCTGGAGGGGAAAAAAATCTTTTAAATTTATGATTAATAATGAATTCTATGAAAGCACGAGAAGCTAAAATTTCAAATTTATAATTTCTACATAATTAGCAAAAATATTCTTTAATATGAGAAAAAATATATTATTTTTATATTTAAGGAAGAACTGCATCATCTCTTAAGAATTCAAAAAACTAATACACTTATGTTTTTCCCCATATATACCTAAAAAGGCAACTGTGAGTTAATTTAACCAGCCCACAAAATCGTGATCAGGAACTGGTTTCATTACGACAATTTTTAAACTTTTTTCAACAATTTCTATCAGATGGCTTCTAATTATATAGAAAGGAATCTGCTAAAAAGCCTAAATATAACTGGCCATGAAAATAAATGTTTGCAGATATCCCTAGGGGCAAAAATATGACAAGGCAGTCCCAACAGAAATAAGGCAAAAAGCAAGTGAAGTTGAGCAGCGACAAACTCTTCATATAGCCTACTTTTTTCTATTACTCTGTCTTGTTTTTTTATAAAAAACTCTTCGGAGGGAATTCAATCTTTGGGATAGCCAATATTGAGTTTTCTAATATAATAACATGAAGGAGAAGACAGGGATATTATTGGTAAAGGTAGATTGGATCAGTGAAAATTCACAGGATACCAGATTTGCAAACCATCCAGCCAGGCTCAGCAATACAATCGGGTATTCCTCTATAATTCCTTCCTGGGTTTGTGGCATTAAAGCCATAAGGATTAAAATCTGAAGCACTTAAGAGAGGGGCATGACAATATTAACCACTAATACACTGAATGAATACTCCCTCCTTCCAAAATGAATATCTTGCATTGTCTTTTTAATTCATTTAAGGTGGATTTTGGCTAAGGAGGAAGAAAGAAAGGAATGTCAACAAGTCATGGAAACATTTCAACGTATTGCCATTTCCAAATTATCTCTGAAACTAAATTGCAATTTGTTTATTCAAGAGTTTATTGCTTTAAAAAAATAGTACATGCTTTCCTATTATCATTTCTTTAAAATTCTATGCTTTCTTATATAAGTGCTTTAGAATAAGCTGCCATCTAATAATCTTGCTTCTAAATGTATAAGAGTATACAATAGGAGTGGATCCTATTCTTTTTCATCCTTTACAAAGACAAATGGCCAATTGTCTTCCAGTGCAAACTCCCCTCTATCCCTTTTACTTAATTTTTCTAAATGACTTTTAAAACAACATGCCATTTAAAGAAGTCACTCTCCTTTAGTAGCTATTCAAAGTTATCCAGCCTTTCCGTTACGTCTCTAATTTTAAAATTCAGTAGGTAGTCTTCAACCATATTGTCACATTATGTTTAGCAATAACTATATACTTATTATTCAAGTATTATAACCCTTCATTTTTCTTATAATCAACATTCTTTTTTAAAAATCACCTATGCTATAACAGCATAGTCCTTGTTTTGTTCGTTGTTATCATTTTCTTGTGGGCTAGTGATTTTTACTTCTGGTCTTGGTGGTCTTTGAGGGTCTAAGTCAACCTGGAGGAAAATAGATAAAAACAAAGACATTGGCTCTTTAGTTACAAAGGTAAGAAAATTCACAAGGAAAAAAATTATTCAATATTCCCTTTAATCATGTAAATATTCAACTAAAAACAGTTCCTTGGGTTCACTATGCTTTTTAGTGTACCATCGCCCAGTGGACACGCCATTCTCAACAACTGACTTGTGCAGAAGCCCTTTCTGAGACATAATCCACTACGCGTTTTTAAGGGCACAGACTCACTTCTTGTGCTGCAGGCTTTATTTTTCTCAATTTTTTCATTTTGCTTTCAGTTTTTCTTTTCAACATCATATTTATACTTTTCATTTTAGCATTTGCAGAGAAAAGGGAAGTGAAAAAGGCAGCATTTCTACCCCCATATCACATTAATCCAGCCCCAAATCAGATGTTCTTCTGTTAGTTATCTACTAGAATTCACAAATTCTTTGTGAATATGATTCCATGTACCATCAAATATCAGGGAGATAAGAGCATGACAGAAAATCAAAACACAGAGGCAGCATCTCTCCAGCAGCAACCATTGTTCCTGCCACTTGGACTTCTCATATGTTATCAACAATATTGTCTCATTTACAATTTGTCCTTCCCCCACTAGACTGAAAACTAAGGGGGTGAGCTTAGAATTAGCTGCTAGTTTTCAAACTCAGCTCCATGGAATCCTGGAGGCTCCAAAGCCCCCACAAGGGCCACCAGTATGGGGACAACAGGAGTAGCTCCAGGTCCCCCTCCCCTACAGGCCATGATTTATGCTCTAAAAAGGAAAAAAGATTACTGAGACTATCTCTTATTTCACATTGTTATCTCGTGATATGTCTCAAATAGGATCTTGAATATAGTACAAGCTCAACAAATGTCGATTGATTGCTGTGTATTTGTCATGTATTTCCTGCCGTTTTCCTACAATCATATCACACATTGTCTAAGAACTGTTACATGGAACAAAATGCTACATGAGAAACTGAACTTTTAGTCATTTTATAAGAATCCTTTTTAAAAAGTTAATTATTAACGTATAATTTATAATTCATCTAAACTTGGTTTTTCACATATTTGGTATGCTTAAAGTATACCTATAGTAATAATCCTTTAGGGAGAATGAAAACAAAATATACTATCATCATAAGAGAGATGAGTCAAATAAGATTAAATATCTGTGGGTAACTGCTCTGCTGTGGCATGTGTATAGTCCTTAAAATCCCTAACTAGTCATGTACCAGGCACTTGTTCATTTGAGCTCCCAAGAATTTAGATTCATTCTCAATACATACCATGAACACCTGTACTTCAAATTATATAACCTTGATCCTGACTGATACCCAATTCCTATGAAAGGCAGATTTTTAGAAGTTAAATTTATGGAATGGACGGACAGGCAATCTATTCATTTCTGTAAAATCTATTTAGGTTGTAACACTGAATTAAGCTAGACCACTGGAAAAAGGCATACTTGATCTTACTATCTAGGTCTCACATAGAATTTATATTTTGATTTCATGCTGTAAACTTTCATCAAAGGCCGCTATAACAAAGAGCTGCTTCATGAAACCTACTAATACAGTTGCCATATAAATGACACTGAGGACATTGTCCTCTACATTATTGTGCTTCCTATATGATTCCCCCAGACAACAGATTTTACTTTCTTTGAGAAACTTTTTTTGGCATTTCTTGAGAAATTCATTTTGTTTCCTTATTGAGGGAAAGGGAATCATGTAATTGGCTGAATTGTTTTTTTATTTTAGCTACAAACAACTTCAGGATACAAATTGTAGCTAAATTTTAATAACTATGTAGAAGTGTATACGGGGAATTTCTTACAGAATACGACTATGATTCTCTCATCTTCAGAAAAGATGAAATGAGAGACATGTTGAGTATTTTCATTTAGATGTTAAGAATGTTTTTGTATAAGCCATACAGTAGATTATAGATAACTTTGTACTGGCTACTGAAATCTGGCCACAAGAACATCTTGAGTGTTTTGCATTTTACCAGTACTAAACTTAGTCTCCCTAAGCAAGGTAAAACAGATGAATCAATAATAAATAATCAGGAAGACACCATTCATCATACTGGGTATCAGGAATGAATACACCAAGGTCCACTTGAGAGATTACAGACTTGAGGGAGGTGGGCCTTGATCTGATGCACAGACAGGGAGGAAGGGCATAAGCGGATGGTGATTGTACATCCTGCCTTTTATACTATGAGACTCAACTGGAGCCTATTCATTAGCATGTAACTTAACCTATCCTATGGAACTTTATCTATCCTACGGAAGAATGCCAGGACTTGAGAATATCCTGCCCCAGGGCCAGCAGTGGGATAACAAGGTAGGAAGGAAGCTTCGCCACATATTTCTTTGCCTTCTCTGTATAATAAATAAAATGAAATATTATTAAGTGCCTGGTCTATTAAGTGCTTAATTCAATTAATCCATTGGAAGAGGACTAAACAAATTAAACTTTAATATTTCTAGAAAGCAAAGAAGTCACTCATAACAGAGATGATGTTCTTTATATCATGACTAAGTCTTACTGGTCTTGATATTCTTCTCTGGTTTGTATCTTCCCTGGTCTTAACTTATTTGTATTTGTTATTTGTATTTCTCTCTTTTGTTATACATGTTCTTAGAAGCCTCTGTAAATTTTTTGTAGAAGGAGGTAGGAGACGGATGGATGGATGGATGGATGGATAGATGGACGGATGATAGAAGGACAGACATGGTCTGTCAGATAGAGGGGTGACAGTACTTGTTGACTGACTGAAATGATGTAGTCAAGTAAATGGTACTGGATCCTCCCTACTCAGTTGTAAGTGGTTTCAAGGCAAGTCCTAAGTGCTTGAATAATTCCCTAAGCGTGCACACACACACACACACACACACACATTCATGCATGCACATGAGTGAGTAAAAGCAATAGAAATACCTCATCTTGGCCATCAGCAGCTCCTTGAGACTTTATTTCCTCATCCACTGCCTCTTGAAGCTCACTGTTAACCTGATCCAGTTCTTCACCATTTTCTTCATCGGTACCTCCATTTACACGAGCGGGACCTGGTTCTTCACCATTTTCTTCATCGGTACCTCCATTTACACGAGCGGGACCTGGTTCTTCACCATTTTCTTCATCGGTACCACCATTAAGACGAGAGGGACCTGCCTCCTCCTCCCTGTGATCTGGGATTTCCTCTGCTTGCTCGGGGGCATCTGAAGCCTCCCTACCTCCCTCCTCTTCACCATTCATTCCTGAAAAGTCTTCTTTCTGTTCTACATCCTTGTTTTCCTTCTCTCCATCTTCTTCCTCATCTACTATTTCTGCTGGCCTCTAATGGATCAAAAGGAATAATGGATAAAAGTAAGAAGTGTAACAGAGATTTTTCCATTGCACATATAATAATGTAATAATTATAATACTACAGTCAAGTAAAACTTCCTTACATTTGCACTGTACTTTATAGTACATAACGTGTTAACTTTTACCGAATATCTACTGAATGTCACTCTTCACAAGTATTTTCTCATTTAATCCTCACAATAATCCTGTGAGGTTGGTATTATTCCCATTTTACAGGTGAGAAAACTAAGGTAGAGAAAGACCAAATATCTAGCCCAAGGTCCCACTGTTTACAAGTGGAAAAGCCAGAATTACAACAAAGCATGTGACTCCAGAATCAATGCTCTTAATCCCATGACAGATAGGAAACTAAACTGCAGGGTCCTTGGCCAATATCTAGCCGAGTGTCTGGCCCAGAGGGGAAGGTAAAAAAACTCTTTGTGGAGAGATTATCATCCTCATCACTAGTGCCTGGTGTGTATTTATATCTCTAAATACAAAAATGGGCAATGGCGATGGCACCAGGATATGAATCCAGGTTTTCTAACACTGGATGTGGACAGTTTTCCACACGATTGTCTAAGATAGTTGACATATACCTGCAAATACAAAGATTGATTGTCATACAGATCCAAGGCCAAAAAACTATATGTCCTTTGTATAAAAATAATATATGCTCAAACATTTTATAAACTCTAATTAGGCATCTTTACTGTTATTTGGATACACGTAAATTTGCTCTAAAAAAGAACAAGAGGCCGAGTTCCAAAGCCAAGACTGTAGAGAGAGAAAGACCCAGGTTCTAGTCCTGGCCAGGCACGCACTGGCTGTTTCCTAACTTCTGTGAGTTTCAGATTCCCCACTTGTAAAGTGGGAATATAATAAAACCTCCATGGTGATTAAATGAGACAAATCATATACAGTCCCTAGCACAGTACCTGGCTGATCACAGATTCTAAAACAACATTAAAATCCCTTCCCATTTGTTATGATACAGTCTTTCCTGGAGCTATCATATTTCGTCATAGCCCCTGGTAAAATAATAGTGTTCTATGTTCTATGTTAGGACTCCAGACCTGCCTCTTTCTAGCTGTATAACATTGGACAGGTCACTTAATCCTCTGGCATCTGTAAAATGAGGGTTTGAGACACAATTAACTCTGACCTCCCTTCCAGCTCTGGAAGTCCATTCTCCTCTAACAGCCCAAATACCTGTTATGGAACTGTTAATTGTCTTCTTATAAAAGTTAACATAATGCTCTCAGCTTCAGAAGTAAAGAAGGAAGGAAAAGAAGGGGAGTAGACTAAAACTTTGGGGTAAAATGCCCCACATTATTTTGAAAAGGAAAGAGTTAGAACCATGAATTCCTCTATTCTGTCAAAAATAAAGTCTCAAATTTGATTACATGATATCAAAGATGCACTTTAAAAAATGAAGGGAAAAATTAGTTGTTCTTAAGATATTCCAAAAGCATTGTTTGTCATCATGCAGATTAAATGACAGCACAGGGAGGCTTTCAAATTCATCTTTCAAATTTCTATTCAGATGCTTAATGGCAGACAGTGTAGGGCCCTAGTGATCCCTAAGCCTGCCGCCCTGGGTGAGGCCCTTAGGAAGGCTGAATGCTGGACAGAAATGAAGGGTAGGAGGGGGTAGATCTGCCAGGTGCTAAAAAAAGGCAAGAGATAAAAAAAGGTAACCCACAGTGCTTGGTAAAGACTTCTGGCTTTTATGTATAAGACCTAAATGAATGAAGGTGAGAAAATCCTCCAATTTCCAAAAGAGAAAAGAGTATGTTCCCATCTCCACACCCTTGTCCCATCCTCTCTCCATAGAGAGAAACATGGCACAGCATTGAGGCAGACGTAGTTGAAGTGATGAGCAGAGGAGAGTTTGGAGAGGGAGAGAGTGGGCATTGTCACTATGAAAACAGAACAAAGGAAATATCCTGAGCCGATGATGTTTATGCATTACCGAGGAGCAAGAGCTACAGAGGGCGCAGGAAAGGAACCAGCACCAGGAAGTCCAGGGGCTTCCTCAGTAAGACACTAAGAAAGAGGGGACTCCAGAAGGCAGAGAGCTAGAATAAGGAGCCAACTCAGAGAAACACTGTGGGTGGCTCCCCACTAACATGTCACAAGAGGCTAAGAAAAGGCCCAGGGGTCTCAGGCCTAGAGACAGCAAGTTCCCTTCCTGATGACTCTGAGGGATTTGGGGGGACACTCACTGTGGGACCCTAAGAGACATTGGGAGGGTTCTCAGTCATCACAACTTGAGCGAATGGGCTTCGAGCACCCGTTTGTAGTACCTAGGTCCTGAGACAAATGGGACCATCTCTACAACAAAGAACTCAAGAGCAGTGCAGTAACAAATCACATTACAATCTATATATGGCATGAGGAGAGAAGCAGCAAGAGCATGTGTCAGGAAAGGGACAAGGTGCAGTGTGGCAGCCTGCTGCCGGATCTCACATGTTCTGGTCACTGAGACTTCTAAAATACTGCGTGAACAGAGTTTGAGGATGGAGAGCAACAGACGAGAAGCAAATACACTGAGCACCTGTGACCTGTCTATGCCAAACATCATGCTCAGCGCTCAGACATTCATCATTTCATGAAACCCTCACAATAACCCTACGAAGTATGCTTCTTATGCCCATTGGACATATAAGGAAACTGAGGAATCACTCAACATTTCCCAAATCAGACAACAGGTGAACAAGTAGGGCTGGGATTTGAACCCAAGGCGATCTTGTCCCGAAGTCTTGATATTCTTCCCTAAAGAAATAATACAAGAAGTTGCTGCTTCACCTACTTGCTACAGCATGCACACTCAAGTGTATTTTCAATGGCCAGAAAACATGACATCTGCAGGAGGCAACAATACTTTTACTGTTTAAAGAATTACCGACGTGAGAACGAAACATTTCTGGATTTCTATTAAAGACTTTTGGTGTGATCCAGGCAGGGAACATGACAAAGATTGTTAGGCAGAGTACCTGAAGCAGTACATAACAAAAATCCAGAAATACTACAAGCACTAATGGCCAGTAGGAGCATACTTCTTTATAAATTATCTGTGAAAACTGGATAATTGTATATCACTCTCCTGGAAATTGTTGTACTACTTACTGTACCTAAACTTGCCCTATTCAGAGCAACGTTTGGTTTTGGTTTTAAAGAGAAGTTCTATAGCACTTCTTAATAAAAAAAAATTAATAATAATAACATAGAAAACATAATTTAGTGTAATCATTTAGGAATGTAGATATATTCCTTGCCTCTCTGAGAATATATTACAGAGCTTGCTAAAGTCTGTTAAGGCAACCACTTCTGTCTAAGTGAGGAAAAGTCTGTTTTTCTTTCCTGACATCTGGATTTATACCTAAAAGTTGCAAAATGACTGTGTGCTGGTTTTTAGTTTTTAGTTTTGTATTTCTCATCTTACCCCTTTCTTCCTCCCAATTCTCAAACACATATACATTTTTTTCTCTTCTTAATGCAAAGGGCTGGTATATACCCTAATCTCTTTTTCAGGACAGAGACACCCAGCTATGAACTCAGGCTCTGTTCTCCTCACCATTATTACCACCACTACTAACAAGCAGGATTATGCTTTCATCCATTATTTCTATCACACTTTCCAAACACAGTTATTTTAGTAGTCATCAAGTAAAGCCACATCTGGTTAGCTCAGCCTTAAGAAATGCAAGATTATGGTGCTGAAATACCAATTTGATCAATTTAAATAAGACGGTAACATTAGTTAAAAGCCTTATAATCCTTTAAAATATCCTGAGTGTAGAATAAAATTTATTATTACTACGACACTACAATTCAGGGCAAAAAAAAAAAAAAATGCTGCTATGACAGATATGTAATGAATAAATGAAAAGCAATGTGCTTTTTGGTGTAATCTCCTCTGAAGCAGGCATTAAATTATTAAAGATGTTTCCAGTGTATACATCAATCAAATCATCCCCAGAAGGAACACTGGGTTTTACACCCGTACACACACAGAGATAAAATCTATAGCATGGTAAGGGCCTGCAAGGAAGGAAAAGAGTAGTCCTTCTATAAGAAGTGGGTGTCCATAGCTGGAGGGAGCTATGCTTTAGGATAAAAAGAAATATAAGGGGCAAAGTGAGCAAGTTGCACACTTCCTCAATCCCCTGCCCTCCTTCTCTTGCTATAGAAAAACTATGGAAGAGGAATCTGGTACCCCCCTCACAATTCAGAGCTGACATCCAGCCCTGGCAGTGGGGCCCTCGCAAAGGAGAATTTACTCAGGTGGATAGGATTCTTGGGAGGCCATAGGCAGGACCACGGCTTCTATCACCTCATAGCTGGAACAGCCCTGCCCTGGGAGTTAGGCCATGAATTAAATAGCTACATGCAAAGCCAGACACAGAAGGTCACACGTCGTATGATTTCATTTATACGAAACATTCAGAATAGGTAGATCTATAAAGCAGAAAGCAGATTAGTGGTTGCCAGGGTTGGGGAGTAGGGAGAATGGGGAATGACTGCTTAATAGGTATGAGGCGGTTTCCTTCTGGGGAGATGAAAATGTCTTAGAACTAGATAGAGGTGATAGTTGTGCAACATAGTGAACGTACTAAATGTCACAGAATTGTTTATTTTAAAACGGTGAATGGTTAATTTTATGTTATGAGAATATTTACTTCAAGTTTTTTTTAAAAAGCTATATGTTGGGGGCCGGCCCAGTGGCTTAGTGGTTAGGTTTGCATGTCTAACAGCTTTGGCAGCCCGGGGTTCATGGGTTCAGATCCAGGGCACAGACCTACACACCGCTCATCAAGCCAAGCTGTGGCGGTGTCCCATATACAAAGTGGAGGAAGATGGGCATAGATGTTAGCTCAAGGCTAATCTTCCTCAGCAAAAAAGGGGGAGGATTGGCATTGGATGTTAGTTCAGAGCCAGTCTTCCTCACAAAAACAAAACAAAACAAACAAAAAAAAAGCTCTATG